GCTTCTTGTTACTACTAGTAAGGCACTTGTTACTACTAGCGTGGCACCTGTTACTAATAGCTTCTTGTTACTACTAGCGTGGCACCAATTTTGGACCTTTCTGGTCCAAGTACTGGCAAATCGACATTGGCATAAAGTTCTCCGATCTTAGGTTGATCTTATTCCAAGTTTTCAGTAAGCAAATGGTGCGAAAGGTTTGCAATGTGGAATATGCAGCGGGAATGGGGTCCATCATTTAAGTTTGACTTTCTACGATTTGCAGACTTGTTATCCAATGCCCTTGTACGGTTTGCTCACACACTCATTGTCAAAGGCCGCATGACGAATGTGCATTTCGTTGTGAAAGCATGCGAACAGTTTGCAAAAGGGAAGCAGTTGTAAGGAATAGGAGGAGCAAGGACGCTACTAGGGGCTCCTGGCATTGCCACTAGGAACAAAAAGCTACTAGGGGCTCCTGGCGTCGCTATTAGGAGCAAGGACGCTAGTAGGGTGGAGACCATCGCGCGTTGAAAACATTTGCTGACAGGCAGTTGTAACATCTGCTGGTCGCACCCCTGGCGACAAGGCCCGGATCGATCAGTAAGACGTTTCTGCCAACAAGATGCCACCGGGGTAGGGCAAAATCTAAGCCGGGGTGGATTTCTTGCATAGTTCGAAACCTCAGGGGCGAAACCACTCCGATGCTCCGAAAATTTGTGCTCCATTTGCTCGGCTCGGACATGGTTTGGTGACGTGTGGTTGGCGCGCTCGGATTACACATCAAAGTGTGAATGGCTACTGTCTACCGAAAGATAAACAAGTGGAAAAGACACAATTACTATTAGTAGCAAGAAGCTACTAGTAAAAAAAGGCGACAACGGTCTTTGGCAAACACGACTTTCGTAAGCTTCCAGGACAAAGCCAATGTAAGCAACGCAGCCGCCCTTTCGCTTCAGGCGGTGCTGACTGCGTAGTGCTTGTTTTTGTATGGTTTTCTGGTCGTCAGTAACTAGGTTGAAGGCCATCGCTAGTCGGTTGGAGGCCATTGCTTGTGTGGTTTCTTGCAGCCAGTTCTTCCTATCGTTTTTGTTTCGGAGCTCCATGGAGACAGAGGGGACTACTGAGAGAGGGAATTGACTTAGTTGAGCATGCAAAGATAATTCATTTTGTTTCCAAAAGCTCAGATGCAGTAGCCCTCACGCCCTTTGCCTGCATGCAACGCACTCGCTTGCGAGTTGCAACAAGTTTACTGTAGGGGTTCGTGCACTGTTGCTTTGTTGGGCTTGTACTCCGCATGTGGACGATCGATTTGGGAGCAAGCCACCAGATTGAAATTTCATTGCAAACGACCACTGAGTGCATTGAAGTTTTGTTGGACGTGGCTCACACTCAGACCACTCCCGTTCTTTTGACATTGGCAGCGGAAAACGCGAAATCCTGCCCACTGTTATGGCTTTTGGTGACAGACTCCTCAGTTTTTTTCAAGAACAGTACGGAAAAAATAGGAACAAAATCATTAGTGGACTATCCTGCATCCATATGTAGTAGCATCCTAGTATATAGCTAGGGGCGAACAAG